TGAAGCACACAGCGCCTTCACGACATGGCGGCAGCAACAATACTACAGCGAGAATAAAACTTACGCCTTCTTTCTTTGCGTGCACATTTGGGCGGCGTTATGCAAATCTTCCCACATAGTGATGTAGACATGTGGGGGCGTGTTAGAACGAGCCGTTTTAGGTAGGCGTGGTTAACTCTTAACTTTTATAAAGAATATCTCATATGACCCCTTTAAAACCGTGCTGCCCAAACGTTAGGCTACTTTAATTTCATGTTTTTCCCTACACATAACATAATGAAGATCAGTATTAAGTTATTACATTTCTTTTGCTTATTATCTTTCATATTACTACATAGGTAATTAGGTAAATTTTACATTTATATTTGTGTAACTGTAGAATATGTTTAAATAAAAATAAAAAAAAGAGTAACATGTAGCTTACTGATCATTTTCTGCCATTAACTTTCCCTTACGAAATATGGAAATTAACCATGGTTTTACTAAAGTAAAAGTGTAGTAACCATGGTTTTTGGCAGATTGATTGACATTTGTTTAACCACAGTTTTACTACAAATACCAGGGTTAAATTATGGTTAGTGTATAATATTTAGTGTAGTAAGTTTAGTGTATTCCGTTAACCCTAAAACATAATGCAATGCAGTGCAATTACCGTCATACATCCCTGCCTTAAAAACCTAGCCATTAAATGAAATTGCAATGTGAAAGTTAAATAACATTACCTTGGCGCTCTCTCTCTCTCTTTTTTTTTTTTTTGATTCCTCAGTGTTTGCTAAACGTTCTGTAATTTATATGTGTGTGTGTATATATATATATACACACACACACACACACACACACACACACACATATATAGGACACGTTATTGTAAATCATTAGTCTCTGCTTATATATATATATATATATATATTATATATATTATTCAAAGTAGCTAACACTGTTTACATGAAGTAATATGAAAGATAATAAGCAAAAGAAATGTAATAACTTAATACTGATTTTCATTATGTTATGTGCAGGGAAAAACATGAAATTAAAGTAGCCTAATGTTTCCGTGGCCGGTTTTAATTGATCAGTACTGCGCTGTCCATTCGGTGGCGCTAGCAAACATGGCCTCCCTGCGCTGTCGAGTCGGTCCATTGAGCCACGCCTTTGACAGGTCAGCGCTGCGCAAACTCTTTAATACCGCGCGGTTTCGTCCCACTTTTGGTGTACATGGCTTTCCATATTTACGTGCCTGCGCCGCTGTAAGAAAAGGCTGTCGCGGGTCAACAGGAAGCCCAAGCGAAGCGACAGATCTTTTATTTTTTTAGCGACAAATTAAGTTGCAACGGTACATACTGTTATTGCTGTCAATCATGTAAACAAAATTTGCCTGTTGTAATTATTGATTTGTCAAAAACGTCCTGCTCTAATGTGCGGTCCCGTGTTGATGCTGATGATGGGACAGTCTTCCGCAAACATAAAAATATGAGAAAGCAATCAGAGCATAAAATTGTCAGTGTAATTCACTTAAATGTAGACCTAATATCTTGTTTAGTATAGTGAGAATGAATGTGTGAACCACACCAGGCACAAGAGCAGTTGTAACAAAATTGTGAAAAATAAGAATTAAATATGTAGGTTTATTTATTTATTTGCTTGCTTGCTTTCCAGACAAATAAAGTCATCTCATGAGAAAAAAAATCCAATGTTTATTCTGGTGAGTATTTGTACAGAACGGCAACAATTTACCCCAATCTACTCTAAATCTACAGCTGTGAGTGGTGGAATGATAACTCTATAATACAAAGATTCCTCTCCGTGTTTTGGTCGTTTTAGTCTAGTGTAAATTCATGTTGCATCACTAATATAATCTCATAAAATAAGTTTGTTCATTTTTATTTCTTCTTGGTTATTGCTTCAAAAATAACTACAATAATGTAGTAAAAGGCACATTTCTTTTTTGGTTGCACTTTAGTTTAAGGTGCCCTTGTTACAGTGTAATTATATATATAAGTACTGAGTCATATGAATTAACTACATGTACTTACTATATGGTTAGGGTTAGGATTTGGGTTTGGCTTAGGGTTACTTGCATGTAATTATGCGTAATTAATTGTTAGGGCTAGGTTAGGTTAGGGTTAGGTAAGTACATGTAACATGTGTAACAAGGACACCTTAAAATAAAGTGTTACCTCTTTTTTTCTTTCATTTGTTGTTACTGTTGTCATTTAAAAATGGAAACAGGCACGGAGGTGCAGCTTTAGTTGAACTGAGCTGAGTAGCATTTTGTGATGCCACTGGAACAGAACTGAATCATTGACGAGTGCAAGCTCTCATTATTTAATGTAACAGACAGAAATATCTGCTACGGGGAAGATTCAGACTGGAGTAACGGAGCCAGTAAAACAGATTACTGCTGTCCTTTTTTTAAACATAAGGGCCTAGTTTCACAGACAGGGCTTAGATTAATCCAGGATTAGGCTATAGTTCAATTAGGACATTTAAGTATCTTTTATAAACGTGCCTTAGAAAATAACCTTACAGGTGTGCATCAGACAAATCAGTGGCACTAATATATTTTAAGATCAGTCAGTGCAAGTTTTTTTCATTTAAAACAGCCCAGACATCCATCTTTATTCTGGGACTAAGCTTAAGCCTCGTCTGGGAAAGAGTGTGAAGACCTCACGAATCATGTCAAATTAATGCATTTTAAATGATGTACTGTCCTACAGAGATCAGACAAAGTAAGCATTTACTGTGCATATTGTAAATTGATTTAGTGTGGGCTTCATGTACTGAGTGTTGGTATTTTCTAGACCCGAGACATTCTTACACACTTAAAACAAAAAGAATCTGATATTGTAAACTAGATCATGTTCTTTCTGTGTCTGGATATCAATAATTTAACAAGATCATGGCTTTGATTGACAGGGAATGCATGAACTGATCAAATCTAGACTCTGAATGCAATATAAGTCACCTTGGATAAAAGTGTAATTAGAAAGTACTTTCAGAAAGTATTGAGACCAATTCATTTTTTCATGTTTTATGTTATGCAGTCTTATGCTAAAATAAACTTTTCCCCATATCCATTTTCAAAAATAAATACAATAAAACAGCAGAGGCACAACAGTCTGCTTATTAAATATAGATCTTTTTTTCCCTCACTAGAGCATAAACACTTTCTGTGGCAAGGGACAAATACAAATTCACTCCATAAACTGTCTTGTAATCTGTCACCACTCTTCCATTCCTAATTGTTATTGTCAGACTTCTTAAGAACATGTTTTTTTCAATAAAAACAGTTGGCAGGTAAACAAATCATCAAAAGGCAAAATTATATTTTTAATATTTTAATCAAACAGCTCAAACAATTGCATAGGATACATTAACAGGTGATGCATAAAATCTGCAGGAATTATTTAAAAATGTGTGCAAGAATGATCCAAATGTTATCCCTTTTATATACCAAATAAATGCATTTTTTAAATTTATTTTAGGATTTACTACATAGTGATCTGCATTAGAGGGAGTTAGACAAAGAGGTCACTTTTAAACAACATAAAAAATATTTTCCCTAATTAATCAAATCCATATCAAAGAAATAAGAACAGCTTCTGCAATCTCATCCAACCCCATAATTAGTTTCATCATCATCATTATTATTATTATCACCTTGTACATGACTGTTATTCTTCACAGATTTGGTCAGATCTGTCAAATAGACAGAAGAAAAGCTTGCAAACATTTGTAGTAGTCATTATAGTCAAAAACATAAGCCATGTCTCACAGGCCCAAATTATTATAATTAGCACAGATGCTTTGTTGTTGCCTACTGTTGCCATTTCACAACATTTTTTTAAAGCAAGTGTTTATCAGCATAAATTAATTTTTGGACCCTCTTCCTTGGGAGTAGGACATGAGATCTGCATTTAAATAACATATGTTGCATTTGGAACAGCGAATTTCATTGAAAGGTCACTGCAGTACAATAAACATTCATGTTGCAATTTTGCAGGTGATATGAGACACATCAGTTACAATCACAGGCTGTGCATTTTGGTACAAATCAATGAAAATGCTTAAAATAGTAACCTCAAAAGTGATTGCATTGTACAAAACCCTTCCTTTAAATTGCTGGTAGGGTAGGGTTAAATTCAAAGTGGAGAATTACAGCATTTTTTCAGTTGAGGTCAAAAACTACATTTGACGCTTAGAACAAATCTAATTAGGAGGTCACAATGGATTTATTACAAATACTACAAATCCAAATAAATGATTTGTTTAACGTACTGCTGGCTTTGCTATTATTGAAAGACATTGTTTGCATCGGGCTGTTGGAAAGAAAATGGCAAGTGTGTGACTATCAAAGCAAAGAGCTGCACCGCTGGAGAGCGTAGTGTCTTTATAAGTTGTTGAGCTCCAGCAGGGTCTGGTCAAGCACTTGGTGCATGTTCAGATTCTCCTCTTTGGCCTGGGCCACTTTCTCTGGTGATGTGAGAACAAGAAGAGATTCGGTGAGACAGCCTTAATTTACAACCTCAGAATCAAGTATCAATCAAATCTTTACAATTGTGATATAGTAACTATCAAAATGACAGGAATGACAAAATAGCTCTTTATCATTCTCAAAGAAAGCAGATTCTTTCAAATAGAGCATATCGAAAATAAATGAGCATAAGAACAATAGACCAATGATGACCTCTTCAGGTTTGTTTCTGATGCTTCTTTCGGACACCGTTCGCTGGTACAGTGCTGAGAGTCTCCGAGCAGGAAAAGTGCAAGCCTTGTTTTGGGACTGACACGTGTCAGGTTTGATTACACGCGGTGTTGGGGAAAGTTACTTTAAAAAGTAATGCTTTGCAATATTGCATTACTCCATGAAAAGTAACTAATTGCGTTACTTCTTATGGAGGGCAATGCATTATGTTACTTTTGCTTTACTTTTGGTCACCTGGCCTGGGCTTGCTTGTTTGTTTGCTTTTTAATAATAAAAAAACACAAGTTATTTTTTGGGCAACTGTAAAGGCCCTTTCACACCAAAAGTGAAATGAATAAGCCTCAGGCTGAAGGAAGCGCCTCTGCCTCGGCACTCACTCCTGATTTCTCTCAACATGAGGACAGGAGAGCTGTCAGTCAGTACATGAGAAAATGTAACTTGCGTTACTTACTTGGAAAAGTAACTCCGATATTTTGTTGCAAATGTAAAAGTAATGCGTTACTTTACTAGTTAGCTCTATTCTAAATCAGGTTGCTTCACCTTGCTGATAAATGAATTGAGCTCTACACAGAAATCAAACCAGTTGAATTTTGTGCTTTCTGAACATGGACTGGTGAGCTCAGACTGGTTTGCCTGCAACTAATCCTGTAATATTAATATAAACCCTTGAGCACATATCAAGCTATAAACCTAATGGATAACAGTATCCTTGTTTCCTCATTCCATCTCTCAGCACCTTTTAGGAGTTTGTCAAGTTTTTGTTCTTCTGTCAAACCAGCTATCAACAAGAAGTCATGTTTTTGAACCATCTGCAGTTTGCAGCATTCGATATTTAATAAAGCCAGAGCATTTTAAAGGAGCTGTCAATAACACACGCAACTCTGACCAGGTTGTCAAACAAAGTTACAAAAGACAGGAACAACAAACAAAGGCACAACAAAAGGCTCACCGTCATAATGCAAAATAGAAATAGTAGTTGCTTCAGTCATGACTTAAGACCAAGTTACATGACTTTGATGCACACCTAGGAATGTATTCTGTACATTTTCTTTAGAATTTATGAACATTCAACAACAAAAAAAGTACCTCAAGCAAGTTTTTTTTTTTTCATATGCAGGTTAGTTAAACTTGCTTTCTGGAACACCCCAAGTATGTACATAAACAATCAAGAAAATGATATCAGGCATTACTTTTTATGATGTCAGTTTTTATTATTTCATTCTTCTATAAGTTCAAATCACAGGTGCCAATATTTGACAGTAACTCTACTGCCCCCCTCAAGTATTTAGTAATCACCACCAGACCAACACATGTAGCCTAGAGAAGAAACATGAAGTATGTTGAGTTTACACTGCGTTGATCAAGATTTCACACCTGCATTGGCATAAAGTATGTTTCTGACCTTAGCGTTCATTGTAAAAACCGCAGAGAAGAATGTGCATCTCATTAGGCTTTGAATGTTTCAAGAGTACATTTTGTTTACCTTTTTCTTATGAGGGAAAGCTCTTCGATTGATTAGCATCCAATCGCTGCACTGCCTGATACAGAAGTGCACACAATGCAGTGCAGAATTCATAAACACTTGTTCCTAGTCTGTTGTTCTCATGAGCGCGCTCGAGAAGTGTGATAAGATTTGCGCGAGCCATTCCTATCGCGAAGCTGATGGTTAAATATGTCATCTATTTGAATTATTTAGAGAAACAGCCACTTTAAAATGCTATGGAGAAAATCTAATATTATCTAAAAAAAAGGCAAATAAACTAAAAAGACTGATGGAAAGAGGAGAAAAGTCTTGAACCAGCACTAACATATAGGCTATTAAATCTTTTTAAATCATGACCACCTTTCCTAGAATTTATCACGTTTTATTGTAGGCTTATTTATTGTGTAAAATTTAGTTTAACTTGTTGTAGAATTTATGTTAGATAATCTGTTAAGGGAATAGATGTTTCCCTATAGATTTTTATTGAAACTGTGGCATGTTGTAGCTATTGGTTCTACATGTGCAGGCGGTTATTTCTTTATAACAAATGCTATATTGATTAGCCTAATTAAAAAAAGTCATTACTGGCCTGGTAATGATAGGCTAGTCTTATTATAACAAATGCCACAGTTAAGAACTATGGTACATGGCCTTCAGAAATTCCAAACTGTTAAGGAGTAAGAAATAAACAATGACATTTTAAAATGATCTTTTACTGATATTATTATACAAGTAGAATTTTTCTAAAATCTATTTGATTTGTTTTTGATAGTTGTTAATAAGTCTCTTAGAATTAGGAAGACGCTTTTGTTTTCATATGGCGATATTTTTTGAAAGTCGGCATGAACTGGCAATTGCAAGCAAATTATTTACCCAATAGGGGTGTGGAATAGATTGTATGGATCATTGTCATTTAATAATCACATGATCTCACGTGAGCAACAGGTTGCTGGAGGGATTATTGTCCACAACATCAGAGAAGAGATGTAGCTGTGAGGCAGAGGTAAAGTTCATATTTCTGATTAAAGAAAACAAGAGGACATAAAAAAAAAAAAAAGATGTACACAAATAAATTATATATATGGAATACTGCAATATTCAATAAAAAATTAATTGTCCATTTTGATTTCAATTTTAAAGCAGAAAACATGATCTCTCTCTCTCTCTATGATATATATACAGTGGGTACGGAAAGTATTCAGACCCCCTTAAATTTTTCTCTATATATCTCTTTGAATACATGCTATGATGCTACCTCCCTGAAACAAGTGTAGTAGCAATGTTCGCAGGGTCTGTTCTTGTGTGCTTATGTGCACAACGATTGATTTCAGACTGATTCACTGCATATCTGGTTGTCACAACCTCAATTATTCACTTTAACACATAAAATGGAATTTAAGTTAATTTGTGATAACACCAAATAAATAAATATAGAAACAGAGGGAAGACATTTCTTACATTTATTACAGCAACAGGATAAAGTAAAGCAGCGGCGAGCATGTATGACACAGATGCTGCAGTGGAAGTGTCAACATTATGAAAGTTACTCGGACCTCAGAACGGACAGTCATGAGAACAACACACAATGCTGACCGTTCCATTACAGATCACAAACACAGGAGAGAAAGACAGGACACAAAACTTGAGCTGCAGCCGGAGCTCCGTCAAATCAGACTGAACAAATAATGCCTGATGTCCGATTCACAGTCACATGGAGGAAAACAGACAGAAAACCATTAGACAAATGGACAATGTGGAGAGGAGAGGAAAAGGATGAGGAGGAGACGGAGAGAGGGCTTAGAGGGTAGTCATGTCGTTCAGAGCCAGATCCAGCTCCTCGCTGAGGGCTTTACCCTTCAGTTTCTGAGCGTACACCTCATCTGTACATCATCCCAGAGGAGAACACAGACACACACGAGACGGACAGAACGAAACAAGCAGCAGAAAAAGACAAAATAATACCGTGAGATGAAGGACTATAAAGACCAATTTCAACTATCACAGATGTTTCACTGCAATGTCTGAACAAGCAATCAGTTTGAAATCTTGGTTAGAAAACCTTGGCACAAGCATAATTTTCAAGCTCACTAGGAGTCACTCTGAAATGAAACTCCATCCGCAAAATCCCATGATACATGCTCTCACGTGTCGTTCTTATTCACTCAACATCTAAGGTGTCAGAGTCACCTCACCAAAAACAGATGGCATGCAGTTTCAGTCCACCAAAAGACACTAGATCCATCTGTCAGAAATGCGCACACAACGCCTACGACATTTCAAGCAACGTTAGTATATGACAACTAGCTCTATCTGGTCAGGTGAAACAGTTTTTCCATTTTCCTATTAATCATTTCGGTTTACAAAACATGTGAGAGAAGTTATAATTAGAACGAATAAGGCAGCAAAACTGCTAATACACACAAGTCCATTCCTGTTATTTTGTCATTAGGGCAGTCATTATTTACAGGCAGCAGTATAAATCTTGAAGATGTACCTTCTAAATCATCAATGGTCTTCTCAAGCTTCGCCACAGACCTCTCAGCAAACTCAGCACGCGTTTCAGCCTGGAGAAAAGAAAATCAACATATTTTCATGGACTTTCTCAATATAAAAATACACTAGGATTCTTTTTCCTAAAAGATTTGGTCAAAACTTCAGAAATATTACATGATTACATGCTATTCTACTTGGGTACATGTTTAATGATGATCAATGAACTGATCAAATGGTTGGCAAAATGGTCTGAATTGGTTTGTGAATCAGTCTGAATTGTTTATTTTCACACACTGAATTGTCTGAAGGGGTTTCACACTCAATGAAACTTTAGAACACAGAGAACATAAAGAGCGCTGGATGAAGTGACTGTGAACACATCACAATCAACTGAAACCAAACCTGCAAATGCATCCTATCTAAGATCTTTCTTTATCTCTGAGATAACAAAGTTCAACATCGCATGGATGTTGATTGGTGAGCCAGTGTCAAAACATTTACATTTAGTCATTTAGCAGACGCTTTTATCCAAAGCGACTTACAAATGAGGACAATAGAAGCAATCAAAATCATCAAGAGAGCAATGATATACAAGTGCTATAAGTCTCAGTTAGCTTAACGCAGTACATGTAGCAAGGTTTTTATTATTATTATATAATTAATAAAAAGAAAACAGATAGAATAGAAAAAGAAGAGCAAGCTAGTGTTAGAGGCCTTTTTTTGCTTTTGTTAATGGTATAATAAATTAAAAGAAAACAAATAGATAGAATACAAAAAGATTAGAGAAGCTAGTGTTTTTTTTTTAAGAAAACAAGCAGTTAGTAAATGAATAGAGCGCAAGTCTAAAATATATTTTTTTTAAGAATAGAATTAGAATAGAGAGTGCTAGAGTTAGAGGGTCAAATAAAGATGGAAGAGATGTGTTTTTAGCCGATTCTTGAAGATGGCTAAGGACTGAATAGAGCGCAAGTCTAAAATATATTTTTTTTAAGAATAGAATTAGAATAGAGAGTGCTAGAGTTAGAGGGTCAAATAAACAAAGTCAATTCTTGAAGATGGCTAAGGACTCAGCTGCTCGGATTGAGTTGGGCAGGTCATTCCACCAGGAGGGAACATTTAATTTAAAAGTACTGGTGTCCCCCAGGGCTCAATTCTTGGACCTTTGCTTTTTAGCTTTTATATTTTTCCACTCTGTCAACTAATAAGATCTCTTAAACTTACCTACCATTTTTATGCTGATGACACCCATCCACTCAAAATCAGGTCAAGATGTGGACTTATTCCATCTATTAAATTGTATTTCGGAGATTAAGACATGGATGTCTAACAATTTTCTGTGTTTGAATAGTTCTAAAACCGAAGTCATGCTTCTCGCTCTCCCCATCAACTGCGTAATGCTGGTTCTTTAGCTCTGCCTGTTGATGGTGTTGCGCTGGAGCTACAAAGTACTTAAAAAAAAATCTTCGTTTTCTCACGTTTAGACTATTGGTAATGCTCTTCTCATTGGAGTGTCTAAATCCTGCATTAACAAACTTCAGTATCTGCAAACTTTGGCAGCAAGAATTATGTCTGGGGCTAGGGTTGTTGAGCATGTAACCCCTGTGGCATCGTTGCATTGGCTCCCGGTAAGATTCCGTGTTGATTTAAAATCCTTATGTTAACATACAAGGTAATGCATAGTCTGCATGGGCTCCTCAGTACTTGGCCGAGCTTTTAACACCTTATACACCTAGACAAGGCTTTCTCATCTTATGCCCCCAAATTGTGGAATTCTCTCCTGGTTGACATCAGGGAAGCAATTTAGGTATTTTTAAATTTCGTCTTAAAACTTTTTACTTCAGGATTGCTTTTACTTGATTAATTTTGTTTTCAGTTTCTTGTTTATTTATTTAGTGTTATTCCAGGTTTCTTTTCTGTGTGTTGCTCTGTATTTTGTGTTTTCATTTTTATTGTTGTGCTTGCTTGTGTTGTAAAGTGCTTTGAGAAAGCAATTTTTAAAGGCACTATACAAAATAAATGTATTATTATTATTATATACAGTACAAATAATTAAGAAATAATTATGTAATATATATTTACTAAATATAATGTATAACGTTACATATTGGGGTGAATATTTGCTGGTCTTGTGCTTTTGTGCAAATGTGCTTTTTAGTCAAATGTCTTTTTTAGTAATCCGCATAAAAGTGACAGTCCCCTTAATATACTATATTTAATTAGTATAGTAATAGTAAAATTTATAATAAATATATCCATAAAAAAGATTTCTACAGTGTTAAATGCAGTGTTCATTTCTATAGGTGTGGTGCTGTGTAGATTGACAAGCTTGTAATTACCATTGTGTATGGCACGATCACGTTTTACAGTTTACCACATCACTGCAGTTTCCATGGTCAAGGCTGTTTAGCTTTAGCATGGAGCCTATATCATACGAGTGTATAACGTATGACGGTATCAAATTCAAATGGGCCAAACAGCTCACCTTGTGTTTATAACTGGATAGAGAGGAGCAAACCCAGTTGTGCTGAATATTCACAAACTCACCTCTTTGAGTTTGTCAGTGAGTACTCTGATTTCTTCTTCATATTTGTCTTCCTTCGTGGAGTACTGGGGAATAAATCAAAAATGAATAATTGATGCTGCAGCTATCATTGTGTAAAGATAAACTGAAAAGCAAGGGCATTTTTTGCAATCTGTGCAATAATTATGCCTTTGAAGATAAAACAAAGGTTTTATTTACATACCATTCAATATTTGAGAACTCTTTACAGGCTAAATACTCACTACAGAATACTAAAATACATCTGAAAATTGTATTTTAAAATGCATATGAAATCAGAATAAGAACATTGCATAGCATTGGCAAGAGAAATGGCAGCAAAGTCAATGGAGATTGTGAGTATGAGAAAGCTATTTTACGCGACAAAGGGAACAATTCACTTTATTGGCTAAGCTCACCCTGTATAAAATGCTGCTTTAACAAGGGGAATCTCATTTTTAAGTTTGGCTTAAAATTTGGATAAATGACATATGTTATCCAATAATTTGTTGTACAAAGACAAAAATTACAACCACAATTACAGATTAGCCCTGTGAGAGTAAACATGGGCAATCTGACTTGAAAGTGAACAGCAGGGCATTTGGACTTTTCACTGCAATAAATGCTATGAAGGCTCAGCCTACCTTCTCAGCCTGTGCCTCCAGGGACTTCAAATTGTTGGTGACATTTTTCAGTTCTTCCTCTAGGTCACCAGATTTGCTGTACCACAGCAAGAGATGCAGGAAAAGAAAGGGCAAAGGAAAGGAGACAGAAAAGGAAGCGGTTTTTAGCAAAAGAGACCCCAACCTGAATGGAACAATGAGGCCATTCCCTTTAATTTTGGCTGAATATTAGAACCATTCAAAGTTCCAAGCACATCAGGCACTTTAAATGCCTTTACATTTCATTCACAAAACAGTTTCCCTAGAAAAAAGTAGTAATGCAGAATATAACAGCACTTGAGAGGCCAACATTCCTTGTCAAATGTTTATTATAAGATTTAAATCATGCAAACTGGCTACTTTAATTATAAAATAATAAAAATAAACTAAATAATAATAAAAATAATAAATAAAATGTTATTTCCAAGGTGCTTGTTACAAAACAGCAGTAATTAAAGTGTGGTATTCCCCAAGGTTCTAGTTGAGGCCCCTTTTTCTTTTGCAAAAGATGCGTTTATCTGCACAGGGACAGAGTCAAGAAGAGCCACACAGGAGGTCATAGATATCCGAAAGAGAGGACAGGTCAAGAGAAGCCAGCATTAACATGCTACATCAGTCTCTCGGCAGTACCTCTTCCTCTCCGGCCATCATGGATTTCATATTCTGGTCCATGAGTCTAAGTTCCTCCTCCAGCTGCCTGACTCGACTGAGTTAGTCCAGAACATGCATATTAAACTCAGTTTTTCATGCAAATGTAATGCACTTTTGTTACCATTGCATATGCACACATATATATTCCACACATCGTTTCTGACAGTCAATACAATCAATACATTTTTCTAACACTGTATTCTGGCAAGGAATTTGATTAAGCAGTAATAACCAAATGCAGATTAAACTTGTTCATGTTTTCATGATGTTAGTGCTAGTCTAAACTTTTAGCATTCAGGAATATGCTCCCAAATCACTGAAATTAAAAATATCAGTATGAAATATCAACAACAACAGAATCCCCTGTTAACACACAAGGTTACTGAAGTTATAATTTATTTATGGAATAATAATGCAATAAAGTTCAGTCTCAACTAAACTGTTTAACATGCATTAAATGTACTTACGCCTCAGCCACTTCAGCTCGCTCCTCAGAGCGCTCAAGCTCACCCTCAAGAATCACCAGTTTACGCGCCACCTGCAGTCCAACAAGCACACAAACTCAATTTTACAATTACTATCAAATAACAAATATCACAGAGCTGTAAAAAGTTATGAAGGAGGAAGTTAATCCCCAATAAACAATAATGCAGGAAATTCAGGTTTAGGTATAGTGACACATCTTCCACACAACAACAACAAAAATATATTCAGTCTGTGACCATTTGATCAACAAAGCAGCATGCTTGTTCTTCAGTAGAAATGATTACATATCCTTAATTATCAATCAGACACATCAACAGAAATTGCCACCAACAGCCAATCAAAATTCAGCAGCTGATAAATTAATTTGTGCACGGCCGCTGGACATGAATATACATGCATCGACCAAATTTGCCAAAAAATGACCACAAGCCAATGCCACGAAGAAACATTCTTGAATAAATATGAAATATAAGAAAACATAAATAAATGATTTCTTCATTATTTTTAGCATCTGAATTCTGAGTGTTTCTGAATCTAGAAATAATAATGTTTTCCTTGTCTTCCACGCCACCATTGTGAACTTTTTTGGAACTTTTATGCATGGCCATAATTCAATATACTGTGAAAAGCTTCTAGTTATAAGAAGCCTGATTTAAATGAATTCCAGTCATTAAATAATGTGAGGCTGGCTGACATGCACACCTCCTCATATTTGCGGTCAGCCTCCTCAGCGATGTGTTTGGCCTCCTTCAGCTGCATCTCCTGGATCTCCATCTTCTCCTCATCTTTTGTTGCTCTGTTCTCTATCACCTTCATTCCTCTGTATGGAGAAACCACATGGTCAATATTACATTCAGAAGTGCCATGAACAGACAAACTCAGCACGTCTAAACACAACAGGTTTAAGGTATTTACTCATGACACCCTGGAAGGATGGCTGATCCTCTGTTTGAAAATCTGTTTGAAACTACCTAAAACTCTGGCCTTGAACAGGTATCAACAAAATACATTGTTTTGTTTTTATGATTACCAAAAAACTAAATGGATGCGAATCAAATAAATAAAAACTGCCCCGTGAACAAAGCCCAGATGTGTAGTTAAAGTGTGGAGTGATATGTTGTTAAAGATGCTGCCGTCACACCTCTCGCTCTCATCCGCGGCTTTCTCGGCCTCCTCGAGCTTCTGTAGCGCAGTGGCGAGTCTCTCCTGGGCACGATCCAACTCCTCCTCTACCAGCTGGATGCGTCTGTTCAGGGACGCCACCTCAGCCTCGGCCTGCCATCACAGGAGAATCAGTCAATGCACACCAAGGCTGCATGCCATGGAGGAAAAATGTGATTTGCGGTAACCTTGTTGGATAATGTGAAGGTGACATGCAATGTGAATATCTTGTGATTATTGTCCAATTAAGTGCAAAATTGCATCTAGAACATCACAATAAACCAAGTTTTGACTCCAACGACAAATTATCTTTCTTCATATCGTGAAAAATTCTGAGATTTTACTGTTGCAACTAACAATTATTTGAATAATCAGAACATCTCTCAAATACATTTTATTTCCTGTATTTTTTTTGACAAAAGTTGCTTTCATATCCTAACCAGTGCTCACTCAGAACAATGTGCAAATTGAAGGCTATAAAATGTATGCTATGCAGAAATTATAACATTGGTAATTTAATCTAATATTATGTAATAATGATATTGTAATATTATAATATAACCGGCTCTCTTACACTGTCTGGTCAATGCACACACTCACTCTAGAATAAGTCTCATCTGTAAATTTAACAGTGACTCACTAGTTAGGAAAAGCTGAACTGCGAAATGTAACTATAACATTTACAGACAATAATTTATTTTTTAATGATAAAAAATTGTCTTGTTAAATCTTTTTTAAAGGGGTCATATGATGCGATTTCAAGTTTTCGTTTCTCTTTGGAGTGTTACAAGCTCTTGGTGCATAAAGAAGATCTGTAAAGTTGCAAAGACTAAAGTCTCAAATCCAAAGAGATATTCTTTATAAAAGTTAAGTCACATCACAGGAGAGTGAACAGCCTGTCAGAAATCATAGCATAGTATGCTATGCATATCATAGTCTTAACCGCGGCTTGTGTACTGCATCATCACTGTGTCTGTCACGCGACTCTGTTGCCCTTTCGGGCTTGAACTGATGGTAAAACTAACGACATTATTAACTGTCTTGATATTTACTTTGAAAGCTGAAGCTCGCGATTATGGTAAGGGGCGTTACATTTCCGACGCGTGCTTGTGGTGTTCGGCCAATCACAATGCACTGGGTCAGCTGGCCAATCAGAGCAGACTGTGCTTGTCAAAGGAGGGGGCTTTGTTGAAAACGACGTGTTTGAGAGAGGCGGGGCATAGAGGACCTACAATAATGTACAGTATTTGAAAAATAATGTGTTTTTTGAACATTAAAGCAGGTCAACATATTCTGTTACACCAAATACACAAAATAATGATCTTTAAAATAGCATCATATGACCCCTTTAACATCCATTGTGCAACAAAAATATCCATTACACAGACAGAACAGTGTACGAAAAAACTGACAAAGTAAAATACTGTTTTCTATACCACTTTTCACCACAAAACTGTTCCCGAATCCACAGCGTGAAACATACAGTGTTGTGACTTTCCATTTAACCTATACATTTGATCAGTTCATGCTTCCCTGGCAATTGTTATGATTCCCATCCCAATTTTTTTAATAACTGGATAAAGCAGAAGTTCCCATCGGACACACTCTCTCTGAATGCATTGCTGGCTTTAAGTTAAACTTTAAAAATGCAAAGTTCACAAGGTAAAGAGGGTTGAGCTCACTATCAACTGTTTGTCCAATACTTTAATAGCTAACTACACGCTAGCAATGCTATTACTATGTCAACCCTTTGAATGTGGGAATATTTAATCATGTCACCAAATACAGCATACAATGAACATGAATAAACGGATATTTATTATTTTAAAGAAGATGTAGCATTTTACAGATGCCTGTAGCCATTAACCAATATTTAAAAGTCTAAAGTCATCTTGGAGATCTTTACAACAAAAGTTCATCTTCATAGTCTAGTAAAACGACAAGGGGTACAGAGGTGGCCTAATTTGTTTGTGGGTTAAAGCCATGCCAGCTTTATAGCTATTTTCATGGCAAGGTTAAAATCCAGGATTAAATAGGCTATAAAAATAGCTAAAACAACTGAAAACCTCATATAAGATGTTTACTAAACATCTTTTATTTTAATTTTTAATAAATCTAAAGCCAATCTGGATTGATTTTTAAAGTGTGTGAGCAGAATAAAAGTCTTCACTAGAAATTTCACATTGAAATAAAGTGTTTAACAGAGAGATAGCTCTGGCAGAAAGCACATCAGGAGATCTTTGCATGGCGGCAAACACTTCTTGAGTAAATGACTTTATACATTGAAATACAAGTAATATATCTGCCACTTTAGTTCTGACCTGCTGAAAAAAAAATGCGTTAAAGTAAATCATGATTGCTCAGATCAGATAAAGTCTACTATTAAACTTTGGTTCAGAAATGGTGAATGTTTCCAACATCAACATTACTTTGTGTAACTAGCTGTAACTTTTGCGGAGGAATGTTATCCTCACTTTCTAAGCAATCTCTGATTACTTTCAGGTTACTCATTACTCAAGAAAAATGGTTTTAATGAAAGAACGCAGAGAAAAAGCCATCCTCCAAACCTAGAATAATGAGTTATATTGCGCTGTCAGAACAGATTTGACAGGAAATCACATACACAAGTCATCGGAGCGTGTGTATGGTGTGTATGGTGTGTTAGTAGAGTAAAGCTGAAAGTTTGTCATCACAACAAACAAGAAAAAACTGACCATGAATCCTTCAAAACAGCACTCTTCCGGGAAATCACCAGTTGTTAAAAAGAGATTATTTGACTATTTCCTCCTGTATCCATATGTACACCAGGACCTCAAACAGCATTCATCTGAACAGAGGAGAGCTGAAGCACAACCAATACAATGTTCTCCTGCAAGACACACTCCATTTATATTTTCAGTCAGGTTAGACACCATACTGAACTTAACATGGATCAAAATGAGGCTGTCAGACTTACAGTCTTTACAATGGCACGCACTCTAACTGTTTCATGGTCTAGTTAAAGTTTTTTTTGGAAAGATGTTTTGTCAGCTGAACAATTGGTGTGTTGTTGTTAATCAACAGTACAATCTATCGAACGCACTTCTGTCACTCACAGCCTCGTTTTTCATTCCTGTCAAATATTAAATATGGCACAACCTTGACTAATACATAGTGTATCTTTAAACGTACTGCGTAAAAATGTACATAAGAAAACTAGTTTATGTTCTTGTTCAATTTTTGTTCATTTTTAATCAAACAAATCTCCCGTAGTGCACTGTTAACATAAGGCACCTCACTATGGGGCTCGAGGGTTCGAGACAACATCAAATCTCCAAATCAATGTTGATCTCCATGTAAACTACCTACACTTCTTACAGGTAGACAAGAAGATGACCCTGGCCTGGGCCCGTGACGGGCTGATGGACTCAAGTGTCTACATTCAGGTGGACTACACCTGCTTAATCACCTGTTTTAACTGAGCACTTGCATCACATATCCGCAGGTCCGTGTGATAGAAAGAGTTTGACTTTGAAGTGAGAGATGCTGTGAGTCTCTGCGGATGTGCTGTTTTCATCACCCGCCCTCAATAAAACCCTAATCTGCTTCTCATGTCTTCTCATTAGCTCAAGCTCCTCCGACAGGTCAGCAGCTCTCACAACCTGCTCTGTTGAATAGTGTGTGCTTCTGCACTGTTTCACCTAAATTGATATTGATATTTGGCTAATGTGTTTTTGAAGTGAACTTAATGTTTGGATTTTATTTAAGAAACCAGAGCATCCCGAAGACAGAGCACTCACTAGAAAACTCCAACACGTTTACAGATGCCAGCCATGAGGAACACCAGTTTTACATTGAATAAGAGCCATTAATAAAGATGCTGTAGTCAAAGGGGCCTTCTATATGGCCCGAGAGGCCCCTTTCTTACCAGCCTGGTTTGTTCGGAATAAAGGGACATCGGTATTGCAGGGAACATGATGTTTCTGAAGTTAACACGTGAACAGTGTAAACAGACAGATAAAACATCGCTCTCGGGCCAGAATGCGCACCCAGGCTGAATGTGAGGGTCACTCACTCTCTCCCTGGCCTGCCGCTCCACGTCCACCTCTCTCTGCAGCGCTTCTGCTCGCTCTTCCGCATCGTCCGCCTGCTGCTGCAGGCTCTGGATCTTCCTCTTCACGGCTTCTATGGAGGTTAACGATGCCATTATTCCCACTGAATTCCCGAGTCTGTTGTTAATGTTAAACGCGACGCGGGCAGGGCAGCAGCAGCGATATCGCTAACGTTATATCCAGTGATCCTGCCTTTATCAGACACCGGTCATGCCAGTTTCTTCCTCTAATGTTTTTATCCAGAAGTCTTCGTTTAGCGTGAATCGCCGACAAACGCTCTGTTCACACCGAGGGCGAAACAAACATCCGTCGGGCTGAAGTAAAGCTCATCTTCGCCGGAACAACAGATGGCGCCGCACACCTCTCAGGTGACCCGTGTTCGGCTGGCAGGAGCACAGAAGCAGGAGCAGCTCGTTCAGCGCTCCCAAACTCAGCAGAGCAGAGCCAGGGCTGCTGCTCAACACCCACGCCGAGCAGTTTCCCTCATAATGAAGGGGTTATGATTTACTTGGCATGAGGACGGGGCCCCAGGTGAGTTCGGAGCAGTGTTGCCAGGTCCGCGGTTTTCCAGCGGTTTTGGTCTACTGTTGCCGCGGGTTGTTTTTCATGTCCGCGGGTTGAAGCGACCCCAATAACGTTATATTTAGCACCTGGAATACGAATTCTACCAGGGGAACCCCCGCAAAAACCGTGTATTTTACCCCCTGGAACAGGATTTGCTCCTGTGGAACTCCCAAGCGGCAACCTCCCGCGCTCTCTAGTGAAGCCAACACGGAAGTGACTAAAACTGTAATTCATCGACTGGCCGCTAGAGGCTGGCTCCAAAAGGGAGTCAATCCCATAGTCCCCCCCCCATGTTAAAATGCCCAACTTTACAGCAGAAAAAAACATGTTTACAGCCTGGTTCAAAAAATGATTTTGGTCTATATAGCTAATTTTGCCCTTCATGACAACTGTGAGGGGGGTGAATTTTTTTATAACTCATCCGTTTAAATTATATTAAGCCTTAAAGTTCTGCATAATTAAGGGCGTGGCCACTTGAGTGACAGGTGGATTGCCGCTGCTGTCACCGGCGTCGAGCTAGGTGGGTGTGGTTTCAGCAACCAGCTCCCGCCTCTTTGCCCATTTTTGATTATTCGGGAGTGACGCGCAGTGACGCGCTGCCAAGATGGCGTCGGCCGGCTCCGCCCACTTTAGGCTTAAAAAATGCTCTTCGGAAAACTACGGGTGACGTCACGGACACTACGTCCATGTTTTTATACAGTCTATGGTGCTCACAGACTATTGAATTCTTGTTGACCTATCTGTCAAGATCGTATGTACCCAAATCATGCAAATTTGATCTCAGAGATGAGTCTTATTGCTTACAAACTTTCTACTTCATCGTGTCCAATCAAATGAATTTCAAACGAATTACAACCATAAAACGGTATGTTTCAGTCAAACGTTTACTCAGGCCTGTCTGAGTGTACTGTCCTTAGACCAATCCATTCAATGAAACGCTGAGCAGATCACTTCACTGTAAACAAATGACTGCATTCCTCTGATGTTTCTCCCTTTTTTGGCCACGTATTAATGGTGTAAATACAGTACAACACGCAGTGAGTGAAGCACACAGTCAAAGAGTATTTCAACGTAAGAACTGGAAGCAAAGCAACTGCAAAAGTTTCCTGATTGAATTGAGATTCTTTTTCACCTGTATCTAGTTAGTATTTAGCATATGTGCATTTATTTTGATGCTAGAGGAGGATGGGTTTTTCTACCCAACCACGTGATCCTAGGGAGATCTTTCAATGCCAGTCACATCACTGGGGCTTTAAGCTGGTTTGATCTTCTGTAAAGCTGCTTTGAAACAACGAGGATTGGGAAAAGCTCTATACAAATACAAATTAAAAAGCAGTTTCCTTCTGTACACTGTCAGTTCTTAAGCAAATGTGCATTTTTCAGTTTTTCATACATTGATGTACACTTTTTAAATAACCTAGAAATGATACTTTTATAATAATTTGTATTTTTTAATTATATAATATTATTGAATATATTTTTTTATTAACATATTTGATAAATATGTAACAGACGTGTCATTTCAAGAGTCGTCTAACCTTTGTGAGCGATTTAAACTGTCTATAGACTATTTAAAGCAGTGGTGCCCAAACTCGGTCCTGGAGGGCCGGTGTCCTGAAGAGTTTAGCTCCAACCCCAATTAAACACACCTGAAGCAGCTAATCAAGCTCTTACTAGGCATACTAGAAACTTACCAGCAGGTGTGTTGAGGCAAGTTGGAGCTAAACTCTGCAGGACACCGGCCCTCCAGGACCGAGTTTGGGCACCCCTGATTTAAAGGGTCTGAATTGCAAAAATATGAATATTTCACACTACAGACCTAACAATATAGCTCTCAATACCTTTACTGAAAAGGTATCAGATGATACTGTGGTGAAGAATACCAGTGTCAAAAAATGTCTAGAAAAAAGATTGCCTAAAAAGACAATGGAAGTACCATTTGTAACTTTGAGTAATGTATATTGTATTATAGATCAAGTATATCATGCTTGTATTTTGGTCATCAGTGAAGAGTATTGAGATTTGACAGTGTGAGTGTGGAAAGGTCAAAGGTCGTGTTAAACAATGGAAACATGACAGGTATCAGACCAACAGAATCCAGCAGAAAACGCAGCCATATGCAGAAAGGGGTCTTTGGTGAAGTGGTAAGATGCACACATCAGTCAGCTCAGCTGTGAGGTGCTGACAGTGTTTATGAAGTGTTTAGAGAATCTGAGACTGTGGGTGGGTTTAGCAGCAGAGCAGCTGTTGACAGGACGGGCCCCAATCAGTGCGGGCCGCTCTCTTGATTAACGGCCTGATCTCTCCACCACCACACACATATCATACTGACTGCAGCCACAGGAGGACGCATGCTGACTAGCTCCTGAACACTTCTGTCTGACTTAAACATGTCATGTCTAGATCTTATGTTCGAACACTGGCCTATTTTTAGGATTTAGGATTTAATTCGCTTCGATTAGTAAAAACGTTCAAAAGCACAGCATTTATTTGAAATAGAAATCTTTTATAAATGAATTTTACTCTTACTTATGATCAATTAATGCATCTTTGCTGAAGTATTAATTTCTATCTTTTAAAAAAATTGAACTGTAGTGTAAACTGTGCATATATAGCATACCAAACAAGGAGTGAATGAGAGATGTGTTGAATCTTTAATGATTTGTGTGTCACTCACGTCTGTGGCCTTCTTCTCGGCCTGCTCTAGTTTCTCCTGAGCGTCCTTCAGTGATTCGGAGTATTTGTCCAGCTCGTCCTCCACACCCTTCAGCTTCTTCTGCAGGCCCAAGAGCTCCTCTTCCAGCTACACACACAAACACACACATTAAGCACTGAAAATACTGTCAAATTACTAGTTTTATTCAAAAGCATTTATTTGACCAGGTTCTCGATGCTTGATTTGAATACTACTACAGAAAGACCGACTGAAGGACAAATTCAGGGTAGAATTTTTTTTAGAAACTTTTGCTTCTCCACATTTTGGAAGATCATTACTTATCAAGTATTGTGTCCCCCATCTTGAGCTCATTCCTACACCAATGAAATATGATGATCTGTAAATCCCGGTTCATAACTGAGTGTCTTGTTTAGGTGGGCTGTTTGGGGAGGGCATGAGGAGACAATTATAAACGGCAAAGTTATGTTAAAGTGGAGAGTTGCAGCAGCTGCTGCTGGTCACCCCCACCCACCCTTTTAACAAGAGTTAAGTAAACCACCACCCATTAACCATAACATCACACATGGCTTAGTGTCAAAAACCAGCCTCTATTTATTGTGAGCCAGCGGGACAGTCGGCTTCCGCATATGGAAATGCAGAGCAGATAATGCTGGCTGCAAAAATAGAGCCCAGCTTTATAGGCGGGTTGCACTTTGGTCAGCTCATAAATTGAGAAGTGTAAAATAGCTACGGTGGATGACGGAACAAGTGAACGGTTTCAAAGCAATGCACTCATGACGGATGCCTTGCCGGGACAGTTATGAGAAGCATCGCGGCTTTGGCGTCAAACGCAGCCCGGTGGCTCCAGATGGTACAAAGCCTTGATCCTATTATGTTGAACAATTCTATGAAGGTGGAGCAGGACAAAACAAGATCAAGGACAGCATGTGTGGTGACCAACGGGTGCAATAACAAAGGCCTTGGGACAAGAATAGATGGAGTTGGGCCATCAGAGCAGGCTTTCAAGAAATTAGATCAGTTTCAGGCGCATATAAACATGGTAAAAGGAACCAATCCAGTTCTAGTAAATGAGATATTCTGAGGTCACCGATTCAAAATCAAATGGATATAATGTTTGTGAACTATATCCTGGTACATGTGCTCCGACAAAATTGTTTCACGTTTTTTGCTCTCATGGGAAAGCCAGCTGTGCTTCCATTATAAAGAACGACAGTGTCCTTGATGAAGAAGCCTTCATTAAAATGGATTTTAGTTAAATAGTTATAGAGAACTTCTAACCGACATTTCCTTTAAATTATTGAGGACGACAGATTCTGTAAAAAACAGTGGCAATGAAAGATCTACAGGAACAATTCATTCATCACGGTCAATAAATAAATCTAAAGTGACAGGCCTGGTCGTGCTGTTATTTGTGTGACATTTAATCAAATAGTGGAAAATGTTGTTCGTCAGCCTGGGCCTCTTAATGAAATGGCTGTAATCAAGTATACCTACTTAAATATACTAACATATTTACACCACTATATTTGGCATCGCCATTTCAGTTAGTCCTGATTGACGGATCTTAAGGAACAAGACTAAAAATAGTTCAACTCATCAGAGATGCTGGACCATAAACTGGGATTAATCATCGGTGTTTGGAGTTGATGACACTGAGCAGATGATGATTCATATACACTACATATACATGGAAGGTCAAATGATACAATTTCTGTACTCAGTACTCAGGAAAAAGACACCAAAAAAGCTTTACTTAAAGTATATATCTCATATTTTTATTACTGCTTAGACAATTTTCCTCATACTTTTTCTCGTCCACTTCTCCCAGTTTAACAGAGAGTTAAATTAGACACAGATGGAAAACAACAGAAACATGGATGGATCTACAGAAAAAAACTCTTGTCTGATAATCGGATTTCAGTTCACCAAACTCATTCCATTTACCTGTTTGCATTTGTCCTCTGCACCTTTCTTGTCTATCTCGGACTGTTCTGCACGATCTATGGCATTCTCCTTGTCTAGCTTCAGCATCTGCATTTTCTTCTTGATGGCCTCCATGGTTGATTTCCTGGGTTTCTGCTAGCAGCCGAGGAGAAAGAGGAGAGCTTGTTCAGAGAGTGGAGGCAGAGATGGACAAAGCAGAGTGCACAGCAGAGAGGCGGCTGGAATCCTCTCCAGAGGAACTCTGGTCTTTTTTGGA